GCGCATCGCGCCGCGACGGTCCCGCCCACACCACTCCGCCCGACGCGCTTCCGTCGAGGCAGCCACGCCCCGCGACGCACGTGCGCCGGGTGGAAGCAACCACAGAGGCTCGGCGCTAGCTCGGCGCCTGGGCCCAGCTTCCGCTCTTCGAGCCTGCCGAGCGCCGAGGATATCGATCGGTCGCGCTCACCCAGCCTTTTTTCGTCTCTTCAGATCGATTGAGCGCGCCTGCAGGCGGAGGCGAGCGGCATGCCGGAAGCTGTAGTCTTTGGGTGGGAGCCAGTTTGGAAAGATGAGTGAATGGAGGGATGAGCTTCCAGATGCGCGGGACTACAAGGCCCATGCGCTGGCCAGGGATGATGACAGCCTAAGCCAGCCCCAGGAAGGAAGGGGCCGATGCTGTTTGGTTTCCCTGATTTAAAAACCCCTTGCACCCACCCAAATTAGAGAATGATTGTGCAGTTACAACACCGAGACCACTTCTGCCGGATTTGTGTTTGCTCCAGTAGAGTTCGAGAATGACCCCAACTGCCTGCTGAGCAGCCCCTTCCCCCACTTTATCAGGAGGGGAGGAATATGGCGGAAACTGACCAGTGCAGGGAAACTGGCAGAAAAGCCCAGTTCCACAAACCTCATTGTTCTCCAGACGTTCCAATAAGGACAAAGGCATCTGGGGTGTAGGCTCCTTTTCAGACTAGGTTAAAGCTGACCGCCACAAAGGCACGCCTCCCTTTTCTCCACAGAAAGGTAATAGCTGAAACTGACCGGTGCAGGGAAACTGGCAGGTGCCCAGCCCCCCTCCCTCCTCTTCCCCAGATGAGCCAACAGCAGGACATTTCGGGACAGTTTTCAAGCAGAACAAGGCGGAAACGCTCCCCTGTGCTTCTGGTCATGGCCAAACATTGCTTAAAAAGCTTCTTCTGAAGAGAAGTTAACATCAAACCGGAGAAGGGTTGTGGGGAGAGGCAACAAGAAAAAAAATTGGGAAAGTAAGCGCTGATGGAGGCTTCTTAGCAATCATAGGAAGGGGTGCCCACCCTCCCACCTCCTCCCCGGTCAGTTGTCCTCATTCCTAAAATAAGGAGCGGGACAGGAGGACAGCTTGTCCACATCTCTGAGCTCTCGTGGGACAGCGCCAACTTCAGGGAGAAAGTACAAGTTTTATTCGGCCACCCCGAATGACCAACTGCCGTTTCATGGTCAGGCTGAGGATCAGATGAGGGCTGCAAGACTGGCATGGCCAGGGCATGGTACCAAACTGAATGTGGGGAGCAGAAGAATGGGAGTCACCTGGATGCTGCCGGCTCCCCAATGGGGCAGACCGCTGAATGCAGAGTCCGTCTGGTGAGATTTATTTCCAAAGACCCCCATGCTGCATTAAATTCCCAGCCTTAAAGAACACAAAAATTTAGCAGATGGCAAAAACAGTTTTTTTTGGGGGGGGGGAAATTAAAACATGCAGTGCTTTGGAAATAATTTGTATTAAATAATGGAATGGACTCAGAGTCTAAAAATAGCCCTGGCGTGAAAGCCCCGACGCGAAACTGACTCCTAAGTCATGCCGTGCCTTGAAAATAACCCCAGAGTCACTTTAATAAGGCAATCAAAACATATGAACGATTTAAGTAAGTGCCAATTTATATAGCAACCACCAGTCTGAGGAATGCCAAACGAAGGAGTAATGCTTGGAAGAATTGGAAATGGGAAGGCTGTCCTACTCTCATGTTCCCCATGCCCATCAGAAATAAGGTCATTAAAATGGGGAGGCTCTATTCTATGGGTCTGGCCCATAGCAAGAGGGTCAGGAGTGTGGTGGTGACCTTGTTTTAAAACTTTCCCACCTTCTTTATAAGCTACGTTGAAAGAAAGGAAAGTATGGAACAAAATTCTGTAATGGAAATGAATAGGCCCCTTGGGTTTAGCAAATCAAGGTCCTGCAACAGAACTTCAGGGTGCCACCTAGCGTGGTTGAGAGTCAGGTGGCATGCAAGTTTAATAGTGATAATAATAATGGTGCTGGATGGGATGGCACTGCCCCAGACAGACCCAGTGCGTAATGGGGGTCCTCCTAGATTCACGGCTCCTGCTTGAAGAGCAGGTGGCAGCCGTGGTAAGGAAGGCCTTTGCACAACTTGTGCATCAGTTACGCCCTTTCCTGGATCGGGGTGCCCTTTGAACAGTCACTCCCGCCCTTGTTATCTCCCAGTCTGCTGCAATGCGCTCTACATGGGGCTACCCTTGAAGAGTATCCAGAAGCTACAGCTGGT